AAGGTAGCTGCTTGGAGCATTTAGCCTTTCTACAAGCAGTTAATTCTCATTAATTAATGAGAACTCTCTCTGCCCCCTTCCAAAAGGAAGAGTGGAGTCCTTATCCCCAGGATGGGGAAGCAGAACCGGAGTCGCTTGCCTCAGCCAAGGTCCCAATCTCCTCGCCGCCAGCCATGAGCTGTTTTGCAGATGGTTGCTTGAATTGACACCCTGGAGCAGGGACAGGCAACCCTCAAGTAAAAAGGGACCAGGCTGGGGCTGGGGTCTGGCCCACCGCCATCATGTAATGCCCTCCCAGTCCCCTCAGGTCTGTGGCCAAATTACGGGGAATATAATCCAGTTCGCTCCTTCTAAACTTTGTCAGCTCTGTGGTCCTCGCAAGAACAGCAGCAAGAGTAAGGCATTAAAACCATGGGTTTTTAAGTAAATGGAAGAAATGTGACTTGGATTCCACATCCAAATCCCAAATGAATTGTGGATTTAACTTGAAAGCAGGGAAAAAGTTTAATTATGTTGCTGAATTGAGATCAGGGAGCAGATAAACTGGCTCCATGGAGTCAACCGCACTTGAGCTGCTGACTTTGCTGGAGTTGGGGTTTGACTCCAAGTGAAGAGAGAAGCCTCCTCTGTAAATCAGATGAACCCTTACTAGATCTGATCTAATACTGAAGGAATGCTGAACAAGTAAACAGAGATTCAGCTCCTGGTTAACTTCTAGCTTCAAATAACCTTAAAGAAAAGGGTGGCAAGAGAAACCGAAAAGGCAACACCACCCCGTTATAGAACTGGTCTTTAAGAAAATGAATGTAATGCCCAGAAAACAGAAACACCAGTAAGTCGCCTCCTCAAGTGACTGCCTTGTAAGTAAAGGGGACTTCTGCTCAGGGATATTCAGGTTCACAAAAATTACAGAAGATTCCACTACCTACCAGGTTATTTTTAAATTACAAAAGTTAGTTATATATGGAATTACACTAATTGTAACAAATGCATTAGCCCAAAGAATCAAAAACATGCTCTATGCAAAGGCAAAATTTCCATATGGTCCCTGCTTTGCTACGGCAGGAGGAAAGCTTTAACATGATGTGTCGAGTTCCTGAAAAATACAAGTGCACTTTTTTCTGGATGCTGGCTTTCTTGCAGATTTTTAGACAGACACCGAGGCAAATGCCATCCTTTATATAGCAGTGATCTCATCTTCTAGTATTGACAATTAGGCTTGCAACATCAACTTTTGACACAGTGAAGAGATGGTGAAAAAAAATGACAGCAACCCGTAACTGCCTGTGCAAAAAAGTGCACTCTCCAACCCACTCATTGCAATATCTACCATGAATGAGTGGCCATAAAAATGGTGCTGGTACTGCTGGGTTGCCTATCGCTTTCAGCAAATTGGTAGCAATGTTTTGGTTGATTTGTTGGTTCATATGAAGTTGTGAAAACTTAAGTTGTCTAGCTATAATACAGCAGCACAGACAGAAGCCACTGCCATTAGGGTAGCAGTGAAAGATGAGGGAAACATAGAAATTGCCCTGATGGGAAAGGTCTGATTCCATGAGGGGAGAGCAACTCCAGCTCTGCTGGTACATTAGTAGGGCAGGCAGCTCCTGGATGGCACAAGAGTTTGTATTACCTCTCCAGTTTCTCCATGTGAAGGGCAACACAGAGCAAGAGGTAGAGCTCCTGTTTAAGTTCAGACAAATTGCTCATGGCTCACAATAACTGGATGCACATCATTGTTCTTGATTCCCAAACAATTAGGCTGTCTGTGGTGTTCAGAGCAGCATTAGCAGATACACAGTAACCATAATTACATGTACATTTTGAAGAGGGAAAAACTCACAGCAGTTTGAATCTTTCACTGACTGAGCATTTATTGCGATGCCTCTTTTGAAAATTGTGGTCTGAAGTTGTATCCCATCCACAACTCCCAAGATACATATATTTCACACCCCTCATCCTCCTGAAAACAAGTTTTCCCCTCTTCAGGATAAGAAAACTACATAAAAATTAAAATGAAAAGTTGAGAGACAATAAATTGTTTTCCTGTGAAATTTTTCAGGCTAAAGTAATACTGCTTTTAAAAATTCCAGTTGCAACCCTCAAATTAAAACTAAATACAAGAAATATTTTCTCCAAATATTTGTTTTGCTAAAGCCAATTAAAGAAAACATTCAACCACTTTGACTTAGCCTATAACCCTCTCCCCCAAGGCACAGCTGCAAACAGAAGAGGAATTGTTTGAAATACCCATCAATCCCCAGAAGGCAATGCCCAGCCACATAATTAGATACCGAGTAAAAAGCTTATTCCTTGTTCCTTTCTATTTACAACATCTTTTACATAAATCCTTGGGTCCTTACATAACTTTTATTGAAAAGAAAATGCATGACATTTTGCCCAGATAACTACTGAGCAACACTGAATTAGGACTTCAGGCTGTGACACACATATGCAACTGTCACATCCATAAATATTAATAAAAGGCTATTACTTGAAACAGAGACAGAAAAGCACCTGCCAGCATAAGCACAAAACCATAGATCACTGGGTTCTCTCCATCTGATTCAGTATTTTTGTCTAAATAAAGGCAAGTGACAACCTCTGACTTGCTAACTGAGTTGTAGAGAAGGAATGGCAAAGGATAGGAAAAGACCTTTTCAAGATGTAAAAGAAGAAAACTGCTACAGGCTGTTCTAAATAAAGAACGTGAGCCCTTCCTAGAGCCATTGTTACTAAACTGTGATGCTCCCAAGGAAGGGCAAATAAATAATGTCATGAATGTTTGCAAAGTCCCCCTCACTGCTCATGTCATTTTGCACCCAAAGGATGTAAGAGAGCTCATTTCTTGGTAACTCACAGCCAAGAGCTCAGCTCTCTCCAGATCCTTTGGCTGGGAACGGCCGCCCTCTCCTGCGAACTGCTAGTTTGCCTTCCCTTTTCATGCCAGCTGCCTGCCAGCCTGGGGTAAGGGCAAAAACCAAATGTTGCAAACCAAGATAAGAGTGATCTGAGCAAAGCAGGAGATCCAGGGACTCCAATAAAGACTTACTCTGGAGGAATCATTTAATCCTTCTGCCTCAGTTTTCCTGCCTGAAAAAAAGCAGCAACTATCAATTACCTACTTTGTAGGTCATATATTTGCAAAGCCCTCAGGGAGATGAAAAGCATTATACAAACTATATGCACACATGTTAACGCTGATTAATTTTCTCTGCACAAACATATCCTTTTTTCTTCTTCATTGCCCCTCCTCTCATTATATCAGCAGCCTCATCTGGAGGAGGACAAGGAACTGCTGATGGCTGAAGTATTTTCCAGTTGTTCTTTTGAGATTCAGAAATGCAACCACTCAACACAGCCTTGTGTTCAGCTGACTGTTTCCTTAATAGCTTTGCTCTTTCATGTGTTTCCTCATTTTCTGTTACATGAATTTAAAGCAATCAGATTTCCAAGTTAATTTGAAATGATGCAAGATCTATTAGTTGAGGGTATCGTTTGCAAAATAACTCCAAGGGAAAACTTTCACTCACTATACTTCTAGGTATGCTCTCAGAAAACAAAAACAGGGCTAGCAATGTGAATAAAATCATCAGGATTTGACCCCAAAACTAAATCAGTATAGAGCAGAGCACAGAGATATAGCCTAACTGCATAAGAAGCTTGTAATAACTGCAACAGCTCCTACACAGACTGAGTTTTACACCAATGAGAAGCCCTTTTGTGTTAGTGCTTATACAAATGATGGTCAGAATATGCATACAACTTTGCAAAAGAAGATCTATAAGCATTTTTCTTAGGACTTTTTGATCCACATTTTCTGAAGAACACAATGTAAAGACTTTGTGGAATAAAGCTATTGTTGCAGTTATCACAAAGTAATCCAGAGTGAAACTGAGGACTTGTGCTCTGTCGACAGCTCCACAATGGCAGTTCTTATTAGAGATAACAGATGCTGACACTCTGTACCAAGAGTAGAATTGGGCTTCCTGACTTGCAGTATCCAAGAATGACCATTTATGCTCACGGCTAGAACAAACTGCATTGGCACAGGTTGACTAGAGAGGTTGTGGAGTCTCCCCCTTGGAGATATTCAAAAGCCTTCTGGACATGGTCTCAGGCAACCAGCTCTCAGTGGCCCTGCTTGAGCAGGAGGTTTAGACCAGATGACCTCCAGAGTTCCCTTTCAACCTCAACCTTTCTGTGATTTTGTGAAACAAGCAATGGTCTGGTGAATGTCCTTTGCTGCTGCAGCCTCTGGTCTGGATACTGTAGAGATATCAGAAGTTACACCTCAAAGGTGTCCTTGACTAAATGCAATTAGAAGCACCCAGACTGCTGAAGTGACAATTATTAGAGGCTGGAAGCTGAGTGAAATCCCAGGGCAGAGGCTGAAGGGATGGCAGAGTGGCTGGATTTTCCTCATCCTCTTCAACAACTGCAAATCTTCCACTCCTAGATTTGTACGTAGTTAACAGCATATAGGTGGGAGGCCAAGTGCATATTCCACAACCGAAGCCAGCAGCCTTTTAAGACAGCAAGACTGTTACCTTTGTTTTTACTGACCACCTAATGAAGTGGGAAAGCTGAACATTACCACAATAAAAATGTGACAGGTTAACTGTTCAGGTACTGCCCTTAAGGTAAAGACATTGGACAATATAAGTTGATAATGCTACCAAGAGAAAGAGTCTTGGAGGACAATCCTCAAGAAACAACACCTCATCACTGTACTGAGCTGTTTAAGTACACCAAAAAAATCTGTGTTAAAAAAAAAAAAAAAAAAAAGAGAGATTTTGAGTAGCTTTGCTGCTGCCAAGCAATCTGCTCTCAACCGACTATAAAATCTCTCATGCTATCAAGCCAAAACACAAAGGCAGAGAACACACTGACTAGCAATATAATGTTTGAAGTATTGTAAAAGGGAAGAAGTAATCACGCCTGCTTTTAGAAAATGGGATGGTGGTCTCATTAGAAAGGAATTCAATTGCAATAGTTACCTCGGCATGTAAAGGACTCGCTCTGCCACCACAAATCCCACCCTGAAGAAGAGGTTGCTGGCTGGGATGAATGGGAAAACCAGGAACAACAAGCCAACCAAAACTTCTTTGTGTTCCAGTTTCTGCAATAACACAAAATTAAACAAATATCAACTAAAAAAATCCAACTTAATTCACCACTGACTTTCCTCTTTCTTTTTGAGATTCTTATTCATAAAAAAAAAAGCAACTTGGGTTAATGTTGGATATGTTTTGAGTTTAAAATAGATTATTCTAAGACACTGTCCTTCCATATTTATGTACTATTTGTGCTTCCGATATGCCCAGAAAGTTCACAAACACTAACCACAGTGTGTACTATTACCCTTTCAGTATCTTTTCTAAGGTCAGATGAATTGTGTGCAGCTCCCTTGGGATGGCATAGGTAGTACTTAAAACATACCCCATATTGGTAATACGCAAGTACAGAATAGTGTGTATGTATATATTATCATGTCTACCACAGTGTGGCTGTATGTAAATACATAAATGCATACCACATACACACAGACTGCTGCTTTCAATCCTGAATGTTTATAACTAAAAAAAAGCTGTTTTATCAGTCACATTTTGTGCAATGAAAACTATCCCCAAATGGTACACTAATGCAGTCATTTTATCCCTTTTGAGACAATATCTAAACTTGAAATGACACTTCTGCACATGAGGTCTCCACACTCACACAGAGTTGGAAACTTGAGACATGCTATATGTTAAAATTAATGTATTTTGCTTGAGTGGAATTAATGCCCTTCACTTGAGCTCACTTTAGTGTTGCCTCGTTCTTTGAGGAGTAATAGAACTGCCACATGCAGTTCAAAACAACTGTGATCTGCACGGCCAACACAAGTACCTCGGGATGCCATGATCAGCAGCAGGCACTGTTCCTGCCCCAGAGAGACCCAAGCCTCCTCAGGCAAGTGGTGTTTCAGATGTAGTTTCACCTCAAGAGGGTGAATCAGCTCACGCTTTCTGTTGATGGTCTCAAAGGATGGCATCAGGCTAACAGAAATGTAGCATGAGGTCTGTTAAATCACCCAGGCAGACATCTGTGCTTTCCTGCCCTGCGACACTGCTGCCTCTGCAGCACCCTTCTGTAGCCATTGGGAGAAACTTTGTCACGCTTAGAAACAGATGCAGCCAGAATCACTTAACGGTTGCAGCACTTCCTAATTGTTGTGGGCAATTTCTCAACTTCGGAAGGCAAACTGACTTCCCTTTACTGGAGGAATCTAAATGTAGAAATGTTGAACAAGATTTTTGTGTAGAAGAACAGAGCCTGATCAATGATGCAGGGCCAAGTAGTACAACCTGTCTTGCTTTTGCATGGCTACAGACTGCAACATCACTCAGTGGCTGAAATTCAGAAGTCCCAGTATTAAAATATATTCATCCTATTCTGTGGGAAAGACAATGAACATTTTCTGTGGGTACCAAATCCAAGGATAAATGTCAGGAGGCTCTGATGCCACTTCAGAGGAGCTGAACCACAGGATCACAAAAAAGTCCACTGGCTTCCCCTCGCTCAAAGAAGAAACACAAAGCAGAGAGGAGAGAATTCACGTCTCCAGACTTCTACATCAATATCTGCTTTAAACAGCACCACAGTTATGTGCTTCTATTATCCATTTTTTCATTGTCTTGGAATCACAGCTACTAATGCCTTCTTGCAGTCACAACAGCACCTAAAACATCATTCCCAGAGCTGAAGCTGACACCAATTACATAAAGCTGATGAGCAGAGGTGTCCAATAATAGTAATTTTGGCTTGTAATTACAACAGAAAATTGAATAGGAAAAAAAAAGTATTAAAAATTATTTCTCAACTCTGAATGCAAATTATCAGTCCTAGCTCAACTCTAACTTCCCTCCCACCCAGCTCTGGACATATACTCCATTTCCTTCCTGACATTTGATGCTCCCTTCCCACCATGTCTGGTCTAATTATGATGCCCATTTGCTGCCACCACTCTGCCCCAGGGTGTTATAGTTTTACCCTGTCTGGCAGAAAAAAACAGCAACCACTCAC